CAAAGGGGAAGACAGCTTATGACAGGACTGCAAGTAGAGCCAACCACATCCATGCTATGCAGCATTCATCTTGATTTACAGCTTCAGATTTCTACACAGAACCTTCTCTCATTCTATGTAGTGTTGATTTTAAAGGCTCGCCCAGGACACTTAAGTTGTACTTCTTCATCATATTTATCATCATATCCATACTTTTATTGCTGTATTCTTTTCAAGGTTTCTTGTCATTGTTTCACTATATGGTAGATCCTTAGAGTATTGCTAAATTGTGTCCTTTTCAGATACACAAAGGCTACTTTACTGGGTATCATGACAGTGCTAGAAATCATTCTGCTTACTATTGGAAACCCAGTCTTGCCAACACTGAGTACTTTTGAAAGATGACATAAAACTAAAATTTAAAAAGATATTAGAGATGACATCCATGTCCAGCTAAATTCTCAGAGAATTATATTGTTGGTCTTGATGGCATAGATATTTCTCATTGGTAAGGCTCAGGGATTCACAACGGTGCTCTCTTAAAAGGTACACTGAACTTGGCATGATCTGCTTCACCAGTCTTAAGAGTTCTGACAGATCTGACAGAGGTTAGCCACCGACAGAGTTCAGAGCCAGCTTTGGACTAGAAAGTGCAGCATACCTTCCCTGCTGCTCAACACAAACCCAAGGTGGGTGGAGATTCCAACAGTTAGCTTCCTTCTGGGACAAGCATTAGCCTGTGTATACAATGTCCCAGTTTCTCTGAATCTGTCTCCAAAGAGAGCATCAGGCTTTCCAGACATGAGCTTCTGATGCATCTAATGTGATCTAGATACCTAAGGGAGAATGGAAACATGGATTTGACAGTTAGACATCAGTTTCTCTCCTAGCTCAGCACAGAGTAATTAGACAAGAGCTATATCTGTTTGCTACTTTCTTTTTGGGGGGGGTTGAGACAGGGTTTCTCTGTAGCTTTGGAGGCTGTCCTGGAACTCACTTTGTAGACCAGGCTGGCCTCGAACTCACAGAGATCAGCCTGCCTCTGCCTCCCGAGTGCTGGAATTAAAGGTGTGCGCCACCAACGCCCGGCTGTCTGCTACTTCCTTGAGAAGGAGCTCTGTGTTAGAGGCCTCCCAGAATCACCAGCCAGGCTGGTTGGTATAGGTCTTCTCTTCCATGAAGCTTGTCTAGGCACTTGTGCAAAGAAGAGTGGTGTGCAGAAACCCAAATAAATAATAAAGCCAGAAAATGAAGATATGAGCAGAGAAACCTAGAAACTCCTGTTAATGAAATAGACCTGATGGTTTACTTGTTAGCACAAAATCACTGTCAGAAGTATGCTTGCTCAATCTAAGAGAAAATGAAAGTAAAGCTAAGAATGAAGATTCAAATACCTCAAAGTACCAACAGGGCATGGAAATGAACAGATGAACTACAATTCTCTTGAAGAATTCACCGGCAGGTGGAAGCAATGACATGCATTAGCAAACCAAAGAGTGATCACTGGCGATAATGATCATAGAGGAGAAGACAACCAGGGATGGGAATGTGTGAAGAACGATGAAGGGACATTTAGGACACCATTAAGCAGACCAATATGAATGTTTCACAAGGTCAGGAAGGGACAGACAGAGAACGGATCAGGAAACTGTCTGAAACACACAGTGGCTGATTCTTCCTTAGTCTGTGGGAGGAAATTAGCATGCAGGTCCAAGAAATCCAAGAATGCAGAATATAATGACTCCTAAGAAATTCTTACAGAGATACCCCACAACAATTGGCACCACTCATCTCTAAGCTGAAAAAGTAGAATAGATATAAACACAAAGCTAATGAGTAAATGTATTTTATTTAATTTTTATTAAATGGTTTTCATTTATTTTACATACCAACCACAGTTTCCCCTCCCTCCACTCCTCCCATGCCTTACCCCACTTTCTTTCTACACTCCCTTCCATCCACTGATCCTCTGCATCCACTCACAAAGGGTAAGGCCTCCCATCGAGATCTCCTGGGTAAATTGGGGGCAGGCCGTGGGTAGGTGTATGGGTCATGAGCCATTAGGTGAGTTGGAGCAGGTTGGGGGTGGGAAGGACAGACAGAATATGTAAGTGATTTCTTGACAGAGGTCCATTTGGGGTTAATGAGAAACCTGGTGCCAGGGAGACTCCTAGGAATCCACAGGTATGACCTTATGTGGTGATATATTATTGTTTATAATTTATTAAAGCCACTGGTCAACAAAATAGCAAAGTAGCCATACTAGTTAGCTAAAGAAGCTAGGCAGTGGTGGTATACACCTTTAACCCCAGGATTCAAGATTCAGAGGTAGATAAATCTCTGTTAGTTCAAGGCCACACTGACTACATGAAATTGATCCAGTCTTAAAAGAAACAGTTCACACAAAGGTGATTTTAGCACCTGAGATCACACACCTTTAATCCCAGCACTAAGGAGGTAGAGACAGAAGTCATATGGCTGGGCAGAGAAAGAAATATAAGGAGGAAGAGACAGGATCTTGGAGCCTTTTGCCTCTGAGGATTTGTGGAGACAGGATTGCCATTTCACCTGGGTAGAGGTGAGATCTATTGGCTTGGCTGCTTTGCTTTTCTGGTCTTCAGCTTGAATATTGAACCCCAATATCAGTCTCTGGGTCTTTTATTTTTTGTGCTACAAAATAACTATATTTTTATGATAGAAAATATCCCTTCTCAGCCCAGCGCCCCTTCTACTATAAAAAGTAGTAGATGACACAGATGCTATGCCAACATTAGATGTTGACAAAAATAATTCAGACACAGACTACAAAAAGAATAATTCGGAACATGGCATTCCACAAGATGTTATTTTTGGCCTCTGGTGACTTTCTAGAAAGTTTGTAAGACATTGTCATGGCCAAACCATGTGTTCATTTGTGTATGTGTGTCTTACACAGTTTAACTGTCATAGCCAGTAGTTGCCTCTAGAAGATAAATGAAACAGCCTTTGCTAGTGGCTGTATTATAATATTCAAGAAATTTCTAGAGAATAATAGTTTAACATTTGCTGCTTTTTTCCCTATTCTTTAGTTTTGTACCTTTATATAGGGAATGCTTAACATGGATGCTGGTCTACCTTATTGGGCTCTATTCTCATCTTCTCTTTGATCTCTCAATAGTTTAATTGTTTGTTCTTAGGAAGTAAACTGTTACTAACATATCTAATATTGATTGATGAGTTCGTTATTTCAGTAGAGTTGTACACACAAAGTTCTGTATTAGTATCTTGGTCAAAGTCATACAATAATGCAGTGTTGGCCTCCCCATCTCATAGTATTTTGAGAGAAGACACATTCTGATATGTAAGGCCTGATTTATTGAATACATTTGGTTGATCTTAAATTATTCCTATTAAGAACGAGCACTTTCTCTAAAAAAAAAACAGTAGCAGTACTCTCCTTAGTGAATTTCAGTATGCATTGTGGCAAGCTGGTCATAAACAGAAAGGAAGAAATCTGTGTCACCAAGGCTTGAAGGGGGGGGTGGGAATCAGGGGGGTGGCAGGGAACCTCTTGACAAAGGATTCAGACTGATCTAGAAAACAAAGATAAACCGTGATGCCCTCTAATGCTGTGGACTCTACCTCTATCCTCTTCCTCCTCTCTTCTCACCTTTTAAAAAACAGATGAACAAAAGCTTGCCTGCCAACACTGTTGAGGGAAAGGGTTTTCTCTCCTGTGAACAGCCTTTCTTAACATCTGGAAAAGAGTTGTATCCCCCCACTAGTAGACACTCAGACTTTAATATGCTTTCCCATTCCACTTCAGCCATACTAGTGTTTAACGATGAAAGTTCTGAATCTTTAAAAAAAATATTATTGCTTATTCCTGTGACTCAGAGAAGACAATCCTTGTAGTCACTTTAGAATTATTAATGGGAAATATAACTAGTAGACTAATGAATATTACAAAAAGTGATACACACTTTTCAACTTTTAAAAAGTCTTTAATATTTCTTAAGAAAGTTATTTTAAAGAGCCAGAAAATGTGGTGTATTGTGGAACACCACTGTGAGAAAGCTGACTTGTGAATTTATAATTCATGAATTGCCAAGCCTAACTAAATTACTGCTAATTTTTCTCAGTCTGAGTTTTTATTTTGGAGTAAAATTAATAGTTTATTTCCCTTTTATAATGACTATATAAACATAGTGGAAAAGGTCTTTGTTAGTTATGTTTTATTGTTTATTATTAAAATTATGCTCCTATATTTGTAATGTTTGAGCAAATTACTTAAGATAATAATATAAAAATGTAAGGTTAACCAGTTAGCTCAGTTGTTCACGTTGTGGGGCTAATAACACCAAGGTCATGGGTTTTATCCCCTATACTGTCTACATGAAAGTTCCTTAGTGCTGGATAAATGGCTCAGTGGTTAAAAGTATTTTCTATTCCTTTTGAATCCTGACTTGGGTTCAATTCAGGGAAATCAGCTCAGGTAGCTCACACCTATAATTCCAGTGCAAGGGGACGTGATGCACCCTCCTGATCTCTCCAGGGTTTTGCACAAACCTGATGCAATTATATACACTCAGACCCTCACACATATATATTATTTTTTAAACAATTTTTAAAAGAGTTTAAAATTAAACGACTATCTTTTATCAATTATCCATCTACTACATTTGTTGTCAATTTCTGAGTGTATGTGTCATGAAAGCAAATCAATTAAAACCATTGAAAACAGAAAGGGCTTTACTTTTTGTTCTTAAACAAGGTCTTTGTTGTTAGTTTATTTAATGATAATTTTATGAGTGTAAACAAAAAACTAAATTCAAAACTTCCTTGGCATAAAAGCATTATTTTATTTTTGAGTCAGTAATATATTGAAATATTATTATTACAAAGTATTGCGCTGTTTTAGGAGAAATGTAACTGGCAAATCATCTTTTAAATAGCTGACTGTAGGAAAGGAGAATTGGTCTTTATTTTCAAAAGCTTAAAGCTCTTGGTTAACTGAGAGTCACCCCGGGTTGCTTCCTTAGGATACCACTAAATGTTAGAGATATCGTCTACTGCACAGGAGTGTCACTGCTGGATGAGGATGTGTGGGAGTTCATCTGGATGAAATTCCACTCCACCACTGCAGTGTCTGAGAAGAAGATATTGCTGGAGGCTCTAACTTGCAGCGATGATAGGAATTTATTAAATAGGTGAGTCCATGAAATCTCCCAAGTTAGTTTTTGTAATGAACATTATCATCTACAGGCAAACAGCTCCAGAGTTGGTTTTATTTCCTTGAATATATGGTACTGTAAAATTTGGCACTATAAAATGTTTCTTTCTAGAGATAAGGAAACCTACCTGGTGAAATGACTAAAGCAATTTGACTTGAAAGATAACATGGTTTATGAATAATTATTTTATAAAATTTTACATGTGTTTGAGAAAATATTTTATTGAAAAAGGAAATGTATAGTGTGAAGAACTTGAAAGGGGAGTTGTGTCACCAAGTAATATTTGTGATTTTTCTCATTCCGTAGGTATTCTTGGAGTAGTTAATATATTTCATGAAAGTGCTATGAATTTTATCTAGATTTTCTAGGCAGAAATTGTTCTGTAACTATGCATTGGGAAGATGATAACCCAAGTATTTTTGAAGAATATGACTAAATTATGATTTTTTAAAATTTAAGATTATTAGGTGTTTAAGTTTTTAGACTAAAAGTTTTCCCACAATTTTATCATTATAGGCTTCTAAATCTGTCTCTGAATTCTGAGGTGGTGTTGGATCAAGATGCAATTGATGTTATAATCCATGTAGCCAGAAATCCACATGGCCGAGATCTTGCCTGGAAGTTTTTCAGAGACAAATGGAAAATACTAAATACCAGGTAGAGATTATCATCTATTCTTACCTGAATACATGAAAACCTATATTTGAGGAATAGATACCCAAGGTTTTTGCTAGAGCTATGACCCAAATGATAGTATTAGACCTTATATAATATTCAGCAAAGATGACTGTTGTCCTTGAAATTCATGATTAGTTTAACACTTCTCATTTAATAAAGATTGATAACTTTAATTAATGGGAAAGCATGGAGAGGCTAAGAATTGCTTAGTAGGGAAACTGTGCTTGGAAATTCATCAAATTCGATAAATTGAAATCCTTTAACAAAACTTGTATATTCTGTATACATTATAGAGAAAAACGTAAATCACATATGAATGCTAATTTAACAAGGAACTTTACTCTTGTATAATTGTTTTAAATTCCCTTTAAATGTAAATATCATAAAACACCTCAATAAAATAGTGACACAGAGAAGACTCATTAATCACTTGGATCACTGTATTATTCCAGCTGCAGTAGAATTAATTCCCAGGATATCTTGTTTCGTGGTGAGAATTCTTCAGCTTCAATTTTAGAATTTATTTCATTATGCATTTAAATATATTATAATAAATGCTAATTTATGTCTCTGATAATCTCTATGGTATTTTGAAATTAAATCTATTATGGAGCAAGTAAATGCTCCATGTTATTCTTCAACACAAATTTCTCTCAGATAGTAAGGAGACCTAACATTTGGTCTCTTGAAAGCTGATATAAGAACTATTGTATGTTTGTTCATTCCTTATCAGTTATCCTTGCATAACAAGTTCATCAGAATGTGTTGTTGCAGTTACATACATTTATGTCGATAGCTACTTTGTCAGAAATCATTGGTATACCTATAAGACACATTGACATTGCGTGTTTTCAGTTCATATCTTAGAGTGATTGGAAGATTAGAACTAGATTATAACTTGCATTGCCAATTGTGTTTATAATGAGTCATATAACAGGCTGTAATACACACGATCCTTTCAGTTTAAGGGATTTCAAGCACACACACCAACCTTCCTTTGGTTTGATAGACTAGAGCTCAGTGGGATCCATCCACATACCATTTATTTCCTCTTACTCTGTTTCTCAGCATGCTTATTTTGTCTCTAAGAACCTATACCCACTATTCAAAGGGTAGAAAGACTGGGATTTCAGTCAACAAACATGGTAGTGGTTATCCTCACAAGGAGGAGTGCTTTTATCAGCTCCCATTTTCCTATCAGTCCATAAACATTGGGGATCATGGGAAGGGCTGTCTAGGATATTATATTCTCACTTTTCAGGGTCCTTCTGGTTTTAAGTACCATGTACTCTCACAGCTTCTATTGCTCTCAGAACCATTTAAGGTAACACACACCCTTCATCTGATATGACCATGTAGTAAAGCCATTCTCACTGAGGTCCCCTATGGGAACACACCTGAAAACTAAACCTATAATTTGCACTTGTCTTTCTTGCCTTGGTAAGTTAGATAAGCATTCGCCAATATATCAAGACACACAGCTGGAAGTCTATAAAGACATCTTCTTTCCTCTCCACATATAATACAGATCCAAGGTCCTTTTTACAATCCTAGGTGTTGAAGACTTCCTTGCCATTTCTACCACCACTTCCTTAGCACACGTTTATTTTTTCTTTTTCTTTTCAGTAATTTTAAAGTGGTCTTACATCTTTCTGTCTCTTTACTCATACTTGCTGGTGTGTGTGTGTGTGTGTGTGTTAATTAGAATTCTAAGGTTTATCATGCCTAGCCAGACTACAGAATCTGTGTGACATCAGGATCAAGACTGAACTGGTCTTTCTCATCTTAAGGGACTTTTTCTTTACAATGATCTAGGTTGCTCTACACTAGAACATTTGAAAATGCCTCTCTTTTGGCTCTTGGCTTGCAGATAGAACAATGCCTGAGTCGAATTCTAGATGCCTAGACTTTGAGAGACTCATTGCCATTCATGGATCTCGGAAAAACTGTAGAAGGCCAGGTGGACTTGATAGAACTGTATGGCAAAAAATTGCTTCTTTACCTCTCTCCCTCCTGATAGGAGTGGCCAGTACTTCTGAGAGGTGGTGATCACTGACTGCCTAGGCAAATGCAATTCTTGGAAAAGACTCCAAAACTCATTCTAGCCAGATTGCATAAATTACTACCTAGATAGATATTAAGACTGTTTTCTTTTATCTTTATAGGTACGGGGAAGCTTTATTTATGAATTCCAAACTTATCAGTGGAGTTACCGAATTTCTTAATACAGAAGGCGAACTTAAAGAGGTAAAAATTTTGTTGCTGTCTCATAGAATCACATGAAATTACAGATTTATTTCAACTACTTCTTTCCTTTAGATTCATACCAGTTCCTTTTGCAGCCTTCTGCATACACCTCATACATACATGTATGAAGACACATACATGCACACACAAATATTCTTTTTATTAAATTTATTTTTTAAATTTTAAATTTACATTCAAACCAAAGTTCTCCCTACCACTCCTCCTCCTGCCCCCATCCTCGTTTTCTCCTCAGCTCCCCTCACCCTCCATCAACTCCTCCCAACAGGTAATGGCTCCCATGGGAGTCAACAAAGTTTGGTACATTTAAGTTGGGGCAGGACCAAGGTCCTCCATTTTGCATTAAGACTGAGCATCTCCTCATAGGAAATGGACTCCAACAAGCTAGCTCATATACCTGGTCCTGCCACAGGGTCCTCAGAGAGCCCAAGGTTCACAACTGTCTGCCACATATTGAGGGCCTAGTTTGGTCCCATGGAGGCTCCATAGGTGTTGGTGCAGAGTTCATGAGTTTCCATGAATTTGGTTCAGCTGTCTCTGTATATTTCTTCATCATGATCTTGACCTCCCTTGCTCACATATTCTCTATTCCCTCTCTTTGACTGAATTCCCAGAGCTCAGCCTGGTGCTTGGTTTTGGATCTCTGCCTTTGGTTCCATCAAATACTGGATGAAAGCTCTATGATGATAGCTGGGGCATTCACTAATTTGATTACAAGGGGAAGGTCAGTTCCGGCATCATCTCTCCACTATTGCTAGGAGACCTAGCTGAGGTTATCCTTGTGGATTCTTGGGAATTTCCCTAGCACTGAGTTTCTCTCTAACCTCATAGTGGTTCTCTCTGTCACGATATCTCTTTCCTTGCTATTTTCTTAGTCCATTATTTGCAAAGAAATCTCTAACGTACTAAGCATGTAATGACTATGAACAATGATGAAGACTGTGAAATGTGATCAAATTTAATAAATTCCATAGCTGAGGATCAGGCATTCCAGCGATCTTAGATCCAATCACTCATGGTCAAATGTTTCTGTGAACTTAATTTGTAAACCATTCACTGACAATTATGACAGATCCTACGTGTCCAGAAGGGACTATTGTTGATGCTGAGGTACACAGCAAAAGCCAGAATGATTATGTAATCACAGTAGCCTGCTAACAGCTATCCAGTCTATTAAATGGAATAAATCCATATTGTAGGAAGGAACACCACTGCTTATAATACACGTTGAAAGCAATAGTTTGCCTAAGATAGATTTTTTGGCTCTTCTGTTACAAATTAAGTTTATTAATGAAATTAAGCTTGACTTTTTAATGAACTTGTGTCCAGATTCTAGGATATTTATCTTCTCCATTCCCTATTATATATCTCAGGGTATAAGTCATCTAGGTGTCTCCTTTTCCTCCCTTAACTCCTTACCATACTTGAAAGGGATTTGAGATGGGGACTATCAATCATGCTGGACGACAATAACACAATAAAGATTCTTTTATTTGGTTATGATAATTGATGCTGCCTTTTCCTCTTCTGCTTTGCACTGTATGTAGCTAGTATTTAGCACAGAAATTCCTAGTTTCATTAGCTTCCACAGGTGACAGGCTGGAAACTGTGACCCACAGATAATCCTGTGGAGCAGCATTCTTTAGAAGCATTGAACCTGGCACCTCTGTCACACCTTCTACTATTACTCAGTTTCCTGACAGCATTTCCTTTGACTAACTTAGGATCTGTCACAATGAGTACTGTGCTGAGATAAAGCTAAGATTCCAGTGATTTCAAAGTCAGTCTTTCCCCCTGCTATGTGTGTTCTCAACCCTGAAGGATTTAGCTCTGAAATTGAGAATATTTTTGTTACTTTTTCTTTTTATGAAAGGAGTTAAATGGAGAGAACTTTTATGTGCCTGTAGGAAACAGGAGTCATGCACAAAATATAACTACTTCCATTATTTTTACATTTAAACTGAGTGCTTTTGATATCATGATTTAATATTTAATAATCAAGAAATAAAGTATCGATTTAGTCGCGACCACCACAAACATAGAAGGGAACTCAGAAGTCTCCCCTTTTACCGCCTTCTTCACCCTGTCCATCCCATTTCCCTCTCATCTCCAGGATCCCTTTCACCTTTATCCTTCTTTTCTTTGTGTTCCATTCATGTATTCACTATTTTGATAATATGAAGGTCACAAAAACCATGTTTTAAATTGAGGTTTAATTGAATTCATCACATGAAGACCTTCTTGCTTTATGTATTTTGCTTACATTTTTCATTTTATCCTTTAATTAATTGCCATTTTAATGTTCCAAGCTACCCTGTCATGAAAGCTGTGATTTCAAAAAATGAACCTAAATTGTGGCTTTTATTCCATTATCTTCAAAGCAGATAGCTGAACAATGCAGGCTCTCAGTGGAATGAGAGATGAGTCATTACACTGTGAGCTTGCTTGCTCTCACTTTCCAGTTTAGCTGTTCTGCTGGAAGTCCTTCCATCTTTCCCACCACCTTGCCATTTCCTGCAGGTGTAGGGATAGGGTTTAATTGTTGTTGTCAATCATCCCTTCCCTAAGCAGAAGGAGTTAAGCAAGATCAATGTTTCCCTTGGAAGTTACACCTTATTATTTCTAACCCTGCATATAAGAAGGGAATCAGCACCTTTGAGAATTATGATATTGTTTTTAATGTTTTCATTTTAATTATGTGATTGGTATATGTCTGTATGTGGGTATGTGGTATGCCTGCAGGTGGACCCAAGTGACCAGAATAGTCTTTCAGATCCTCTTAAACTGGAGTTCCAAGCTATTTGAGCTGACCATGGGTGGTGATGGGAACCTATCTGGGGAAGATTACAAGAGCAATCTGCTCTCTACAGCTGAGCCATCTCTCCAGTCTCCTGAAAAAGTATTTAATTTATTAATGGCCATTATCAGATTCAATATTTTAATGACTATTAAGCAGACAAATTTTGCTTTATGACCCTGTCCCTCAAACTGTTCTAACACCTAAGACTGGAGTTTATTCTTAATTATGTGGAACTAGCAGTTTGACTGTAGCAATTTATTGTTTCCTCAAATTTTAAATTAGCAGGAATGCAGCCTGATAGAGCCTCAGAGACCTTTGCAATTTCTAGCTAATGTCCATTGAGCACCTTGCCAGTGTACTTGGTTCTTCTGTGAACCTAACATACTGCCCTGCTGAAAATGAATGTGTGTATTCTCCATCACACTGAATCCATTTACAACTTCAGTGGGAAAGTCTTTTACCTCACAATAGACCAAGAGCTAATTCTATTTAGTTCTATAATTATCAAGATTATGTTGTGCTTTGCAATTCTTCTCTTAAAGTACTTTATGATGCTGGAGTCTAGGATACCCTTAAACAAGATGTTCTTCAATGTTGGACAATTTTTAAAAGATAGATTAGTAAATACACCTAGAAGTTGTGCTAAGAGAATCAGAGGGCATGAACAACCCTGACATGTCACTAAATTTTATTTTACAAAAGCATCTACACTTATTCAAAATAAAAACATGACAATTAATATCCCCAAACCCAACTAAGATAAAACCTAATGGCTACAGAAAACCTAGCAAAGAGCCTGAGAAATAAACAGGATGGGATACAAAGTGCCTTTGTCTATGCTTAGCTTGCACAGGCAAGCAAGCTCAGCCAGACACTGCAGGCCCCTGGGGACCCATGAGAAGGCTCTCAACACACATTCTCCATAAGCAGTACTGAGGAATACAGGCAAAAAGATCAATTTATGGGCGCTGGGGAGAGTATGCCAGATACACTCTGATTGCTCCTCTTCCAATGAATGAGTCACCTCAGGATCACTGAGCTCACAGATGAAGTATTTAGTACACTTCAATCATAATTTTAGACATGAAACTTAGAGATCTACTAGTTACATTGTCTATAGGGTTCTCTTACATGATAATGTATCCAATTGTATAATGTATCCAATCATGTTCAATCACCTAGGTTCGGAGTTTTCTTCAGGTGTTCAGCTTTTTTCATGAAGCATCTTCAAGTAAGTGAAAGTTGCCAAAGGACCATTGATCACTATCTTGAATGTTCAGTGAATGGCTAGGAACAATATGATAATGCAGAACACATTTTGAGAAGTGGGTGTATTTTTCATTGACATGTAATATTAATTTAATATACTATCATATCACATTCTATAATAAATTACACAATTCAGAATTGAATAAAATGTATTATTAGTTGCTGAATTGTCACAGAATCTACTTGAATATTAAGTACATGAATGAAAATGCACTATTGTATTAATGAATATCAAACTGTAACCCAAATATTCCTGTGAGTGTATTTGTGGTTAGAAGCATGGTGTACAGTATATATTTGTGTAGAGCAGTGCTTAGAAGTTGGAAATATGCAAAAAATACTCTCAATTCATTCTTTTTTCCTCTTTTTCTTAATATCTATAATTTTATTAAAATATTTAATTAATTTTATGGCAATATAACAATTGTCAATTATGCATTAGACATCAGAAGGTTGTTTAGCATATAGTGATTTCGATATCATGCCAACTATGTAGGTCTGGGGCATGCATTTCCATTTCCAACAATGTCTGATGATAAACATTCAGAAAGTCCATCAATATAGAAAAATCAATAACAACCCCATCATAAACAAAACTAAAATTCATGAACTAAAACACAAATTAATTCGGACATATAGAATTAACCACATTTTCAACATCTCCAAACCTCACTCTTCCTGCCCAGATTTTTTTTTATCTTGAGACCCTGCATTTCCTTCCCAGCAGAGCCTCCATGTGGCACCCCCTATGTGATGAATCACACCCCACACTAATTACACACATAATGTCTCTTTGCTACGAGTTGATTTTTCACATTTGTCTGTTAGCGCTGTAATTGCTGGTTGGTTGCCAGTTTCTTAAGGCACACAGAACAAAAAGTGAGGTTGCCAGTGTTTAATCTTGCAGTGCATTCTTGAATCTTCTCAGAGTACATGGAATCTTCAAATAAGAACTCCTATCACTAATAATTCTGACGAAGTTTCAACTTCAAATTCTCTGACTCAATGAGACACCTTTTCTTCCTTATCCTTTCGAAGTCTATTTGGTTGGTTGTAATGTCGTTGATCACCCAGGTTTCATCGCACTGCTTCTTTGTTCTATGATCCTGCTACTTTGGTAATCTTTTGACACTGACAATGGTTTTATACTGATTATTTTTACACCATGACTAACAATTTTCTCTCTTTAAAGAAAAAGGTGACCCTTTAGCGCTACCGTCAGACTCTAAGTCTCTTTGCTTTGTTGAATGTGCCTTGGAATCAGAACTGGTCTTTGAAGCAATACCAACAACCTATTTTTAGCACATAAATTGTTTAGTTTATTATCTCCTGTGTTGTGTATGGCTTGGGTCCTGAAACTCTAGCTATGGACAGTGAAATAAAGACAAAGGATAGACATAGTGAAGCTGGGATCAAGATAGTTTCTCTCATACTACTTACCACTTTCACCACACTTGGAATTTCAGTTGGTTTGTTAGCTACAGTACAGGGGAGGATTAGCTGGTCTCAGTAGAAGGTCTCTACCTGTAAGCAGTCTCAGGCTCTAAACATCCAGGAGGAGAATGATACAGTCCCTAGTCTTTGCACACACTGATTAATCTTTCATAGACACACTCAAACTCTCAATAAAAGCTTTGCCATCCCTCTTGAACCAGAACCACATAGGTAATGACTTTGCCAATTTACCATGGGTCAAGTCCTCTTGGGGTCTGTGTTCTTGTCAAAATATACTTTTACTCAGTGTCTCCCTCACTCAGGGTTCCTTTACTTGCTACAGTTACCTATTAATGAAGCAGGAAAGAATGGGAGCTATTATAATTGTAATGCCCACATATTTTTTTCTGATTTTCAGAGTAAACCATGTCACCTGAAGACACAGCCAACCTATTGTTTGAAATGTATTTTTAATAACTAAATTTATTCTTCATAATTTCATACATGTATGGTTATTCTTACTCCTGACTCTTCTCTTTTCCAACCTCTGTCGAGTTCCCTTTACTACAAATTTCTTTCCCACACCCTTGTCTTTTTTGTTTTCTTTGGTGACCCACTGAGCTTAACCAAGGCTTTCTGTGTGACCACAGCTTTGGAACTTCTTATTGAAACCCTGTGGGTTTGCTGGGTTTGGGTTGGGGCTTTAACACAACTAAAAACAGTGACTGTCTCTCTTCACACTCTATCAGTAACCAATTAGTTCAGCAGTAAGGTCTTATGAGCCCCCTTCCATCTGTGACTGACTGATGAAGAGGTCAATATCTTGCAGGCATATTGCCAGTAACTGTAACTTCTGTGGGTTCATGAATTCAATGGTTGTATCTTGTCTAGAGCATGGAACTTTGCTGTGCTATCTTCTAATTCTTGCATTCCTCACATCTCCTGCAGTGTTTATTCTCATTTCAAACCTGTTCCACAATAGTATATTTACTTCATATCATGATTATGTTACCAATCCAGTATAGTAAATGAAGGAGCACTATAACAATCAATGAAATGTAAGTTTGGGTTTTATAAAGAAAAGAGAGATCATTCATATGGTGGCCACATGTGGAAAAATGGGTGAACAATTCTCAAACTTCCAAATCTGAGAACAGGGTTGGGAAGAACACATGGGGTAGATAAACAATTAGGAATAACAATTAAAGTTGATGTGATCATTGTGTTGTTTATTCAGAATTAGTCTTCATAGCTTTTCATAGGATCCCTGCTCAGAAAATGCCAGTGTTAACATGACACATGGGGAAAGATGTTGGTCCTAAAAATATCAAAATGTCATCTAGAGGATATCTGCTTAGTTCTAAGTGAACCCAGTAGGTTAAAGAAATGAGGACTTCAAGTTCCTGAAAAGAAGTGCAGGCAAGTACTGTCATCATGGCCAACATATCAGAAATGTTATCCCTGTACAAGAAAGGCAGAACTTAGAGGGTTCATTCAAGTTTGTCTTTGGTGTCTACACGGCAGGCACTTCATCTCAAATGCATTCTTATTCATGCATGTTCCACCTAAATTCATATCAACACAAGCAGATTCACCATGTTCAATTTCTATTTCCAGCTAAAGAACTTCATGAAGACCTATGATGGGGTAGCCTCTGCTTCATTCTCACGAGCTGTGGAAACTGTGGAAGCCAATGTGCGCTGGAAAAGGCTTTATCAAGAGGAGCTGTTCCAGTGGCTGGGAAAAGCCATGAGGCACTAATATATGTCACTTATCACAAACACAACCCAGACTTTTGAGAGGACCTGGTTCCTGTGGAATGAAGAGGCCAGCTAGGATTTCAGTGATAACGTGTAGGAGGACTTTTTGTTGTTGTTGTTGTTTGGGTGACGGGTATTTTTCTTCGTTCCATTCACTCTCCATTTGTTTCTCTACTGGATATTCCTCTGCATAGAAACTCTTACAAGTGTCACTTGCCCTGGCTATTTCCGCTGTACATTCCCTGCTGTTCAGGACCAAATATGATAGTGGTGCATGTTGATGTTGCAGTCAGTTTGGAAAATCCTATTAAGAATTCTCTATGCATGGATATATGGTCCTGCCTGTGTTCCAGCATGCTTATTTAACATGTTCCAATGTTGTATGTGAATATATGTACATCCTGGATGGGCATTATGCGAAAGCACAAAGATTATCTAAGACAATCAGTGTTGCAATGAAAGTCAAAACTTCAGGAGGGAATTTTTTCTCAGTCATGGACAACAGGAGAGATAAAGCAGCTCTCTAAACAATCTGTGTCATTTATTTCAACACTTGGATTGTCTGGCAATGATGATTGTGTTGTTAACTCATTTTCTTTGAGTTAAAGCTGTACTTGCAAAGATGTATAGATAGTGTGTATATATGCATATGTACATAAAGTAGCACCATGTGTATATAATACGTTGTACATGCACCTGTGTGAAGAATCTCTTCACATCAAAGGAAAATTAACTCTTTTTTATAAAGTGTGGACACTTGGAAAAGGCTTCATATAACTTATCTCAACACTACCCTTCCTACTTTATAACTCACTTTCTTAACTGCTTTTTCATCTATATCATGAGTAATAATCTATTCTACTACATGAAGATGAAGTCTAACAAAATATATGTGCAAACTAATCACTCGGCAAATTCTCTAAAGTCAATGGCAGCCTTTCACCAATTTCCGTCATCATTTTGGTCAACTTTCTTATTGCATAAACCAATTTTGTGTAAACTTAGGATATTCAGTACTAAGAAAGTGTTTATTTATAGCTCCTTTGTATTTCTTACCTTAGATAGTGCAGAGGTGAATACTCTCTGTGTGTTGATCTTTATGTGTAAATTGCTCCTATCCTCCATTAAGCAACCATACCTCAACAGGTCTATTAGCATTTAATGACCTTTTATGCCAGTTGTGCCCTCCCTGAAGACACAAAGTTGCTTTTATGCTGTGTTAATGTACAAAATCTTTCAGAATTAACAACCCTGTTCTACCTGGGAATTTCAAGGAACAATTTTCATGGCTGTGTGTAACACAACTATGTTTTAGTGATTTTCACACCCAGTAGTCCTGTTCCTCGCTTCAGAGTTAACATATTTTAAGTTTAGCATTGTAAAATACTGATCACAACTACTACAACCGAGTCAACTGTTGTAAAACCCCTTTCCATACTCCTGTTATGTTCAGTTCTTCCAAATATTTCTAATCATTGATACAGTGGATTCATAGACCATCACTCAATGCTGGAGAAAGATAATATATATATACCAGGAGTCCTAGAATTGTTTTGTTTGTAAAAATGAAAAGCAATTTCCCAGTCCACTGACTAAGTTATAACTAAATTTGAACCTTCTCATATGAGCGATTAATGCTTCTTGCACCTACAATTTTCAACACTTCATTCAATTAAAATACGTGAATTTTAAGTACTACATGGTGTTAAAGAGTCATGGAGAGGCTTAGTGTGAAATCTGAAATTTAGGTTACCTATTGGAAGTAAGCAAATTTCAATGAGTAATTTGTGAGTGAGAATACTCATAAATCCATGAAGTCCCCAAATACCATTATACCACTGAAAAATTCACTCATGAAACAGAGCTGACCAAGGTTGATATGGATGTCTTTTGTTTCCTGGACTGAAAATTCAGAGAAATGCCTTTTTTATTTTAAGTCATCATTTCCAATTTTGAGTTTTGAGACTTTCTTAGTTCTTTTTCCTCCCTACAATATATGATTATAACAATCATCATAATCCTCTTTCAGTATTTTGTGGCCTTGAACACAACTGGTTTAGCTATAGTCTAAATCCTCAGTGTATACTTGCGTGCAATGTTTATACCTCATAAAATATTTCTTCAACAGAATAGTGGTATCAATGGCATTGAGATGGCAGTTTTGCTCTACACATTTTTCAGTTATTTTAACCTTTCCAACATTGAAATTGTATTTGGCTTTAAGGTTTTTTTAGTTGTTTAAATAAGTAATATTTTCAAAATAATAAAATAACCAATGATATCTCTTGGAATATTCTGTAAAATGTAGCTATAAAATTATATTTTCTACTTAGAGTTTTTATCTTTCTCTCTTGTGTATTTTACAAATCAATTATCTACATGAAATAACATGTTGAAGGTTTTCATCATCTAGTCTAAAAATGTCCTATGTCAATATATGTATAACGGTAAAATTTTGTTTTAATTAGAAAATACTAGATTATTTATCACTTTGGGTATTCATTTTCTCCAAGTAACTTGTAAATAAAATGTTTTCCCCATTTTTACATATTTTTCCATAAATTTTCTTATAGTGTTTGAAGATTTAAAAGCTACACAATTCCAAACTTAGAAGGCAGGCATCTATAATACTGGCTGTGTTTCTTGAAATTCATTAGCAAGCACTTTTGCTGGGCCTTAATTCCCTTTGCTTCATATGATTTTAAAATATATATGTATATATATATTTCAATTTAGATATATAACTAAAATATTACAAGACTATTAATGTTTTAACATGAATTTCTAAAATGTATTCCATTATCAGTAAATTTTACTGGTTGATTTTATTTTTCACAAAAATATAATGCATGTTTGATTTGAGAACCAGCATTCACACCTTTAAAACCCCAGTTCTCTTAACATAGATGGCCTACAACCAACATACAGCAATGTCTATCTATCTCATTAGCCTGAGACTTCACAAGTTCTAGACCAGCATTAGAATATATGTTTGAAGAAATCTACAATTACTCTATTAACATTCATACTTCAAATTTGTACTATTTCATACAAATTTGAAGTCCACTGTTAAACACCATTTACTTTGGTTAGTGTAAGTAGTCAAATATCGGGACATAGGATTTAACCTATTGTTTACAGTCCCCATTGGAGATCTGTTATTAAACATAGTTTAAATGAAAACTTAGAACTGTGACACTTTGCTTTACTTCCACCTCCTTCTGATAGTAGAAATAACAGCTACAGATTGCCAGAATACACACAGAAGGCTATATCATCTCAATAACTGACGCAATATTCAGTAAACTGTGTTTAAATCTTTGGAGACTAACTTGTGGACAAATGATTTTTGTGGAACTGAATTGGATGTAATAAGTAAGTTGTAACGAAGGATACAATATGCCAACTTAAAATTCACTGCTAATTAAATATTTTAAGAATTGACTTCTAGAAGCCCGAAGCATGTAGATCGAATATTATTGTGAATGCCCATGTGATGGGTCCATAACTGTCCCATACAGTAGTCAAAGAACAAATGAGGAGAAGCCAACACTTCAGAGATCATGGCTGAATTATCACTTGATACCAATAGTCATGTGCTATTAGAACTCAACTGAGATAAAGAAAGCTTTATTGAACAGATTGATTTTAACTGAGCATGTGGTGACTAAAACGAAGATGTAGGAAAATAGGTCCAATAATGTTCATATTAAAAATATGAAGAAATCACAAACCAGTTGGAATTAAGGCAAGGAGAAACAGAATCAGATGTTAGAGAGGAGCAGGTTAATCATTTCTAGCTAAGAAACCCAACTATTTTCTGTTCTAATTCCAAAACATGTGAACAATTTTCACTGTTTTATTTCACAGTGCTTGCATTTTTAGAAATATGTAACATTTTCAAATTATAATAATGCCATAAAATTTATACAGTAATAATTGGAATCAAAATTGGGATAGAATCTATCCTTGAGAAAAGCTGTTTGCACAATTTGGAATATTGCTAATCTATGGAAAAATTTAATCCTCTTGTAAAAGTATTTCAAATTTGCCAAAACAATGTTAGCTTTATTTGTCAACTTTAAGGAAATAATTTATTCTTTCAAGCAGGTTCAGCAATTCTGAACTTATGCAATAATTTATGTCTTCAGATTAGTATATATGAACTTGAGCACAAAAATATTGTCATCAAAGATGCTAAAATTTCAACGTTTTTAATTATATAAAATGAGCCCTCAATTTCACTGCCTCGAATTAATAAGCAGATTTTAGAGTCAAATATTTCATTTCATTTTGGGGAGGATTCAATGAAAGTTTAACCGACATGTACTCTACCAGTTTTTGTTCCAGTTTCATGCCACTAAACTCTGTTTTAAAGTTTAGATAGAAAAGAAAAGTTAAGAAGCTTTTAGAAAATCTTTAAAGACATCATTAAAAGGAGTTTTCAGGTCAAGGCACTCATGCACAAAGGAATACTTTCAGTCCTGGCATTTTTGTTTTTAAGCTATTCAGCTCCTCTGTATCATGGGAGTTTCACATAGATTTCACAATCCACACAACTCTGCTTGAAGATTTATCTTTCTGTTACTCCTAGTTCATATACTGATGTGGTAAGAAAGAAGAAGGAGGCTCCATTCTGTTCAGTTTTGTTTTTAAACGATGGATAATTGTAGGGAAGGATCAAAAATGTGAACATGTGTATATCTATCAACCTACACTGCAGGTAAAATTTCATGTAATAACCCAGTGAAAACTTATGAATTCTAATTGATCATCAAGAAAACAGAGGGTAAAAGCCATTGGTTTCTAAAATAAATTACTAATGTTAGCAGGGCTGCAAATCCATCACTTCAGTACCTCTGTCAAGCCTGAGACACTATTCATCCATACAAACTCTGTGGGGGATATGAGTTCTCCTTCATATCTCTCTCACTTTCATTATTATGGACTTGTTGGAAATAAGTGTTAATTGGTGCCTTTTTTGGTTTATCACCATTCTCTTACTAAGGTTACTTCGTGTATTTTCTAAAAATATTTTCTTCACAAAAACCCCACCTTTTGTTGTGAGGGCTTTAAACTACTAGTAATTAACAGGCACTCAGCCAATGAGCCATTGAAAGAGTCAGTGGGAAAGAAAAACAAAGAGGACGGATTGCAAATCCCTTCACCAGTGTCTCACAAAGATGAAGTTAAACTGTCTGCATGTGGAAAGGTTCTATTAGGCCAGCCAGAACTTTTCCGTTGTTTAGCAAAGGGATCAGAAAATTTTCTCTTTCTGCATAGAACTATAGATGGACTGCACTGCTTAATTTACTTGATGTTATGTTTTCAAGGTACCTGCTGTGTGCAGATACAGTCTAACCTAACTGCTTTGACTCGCTTCTTTACAGGTCAACTTGCTTCTAATGGCACACATTTTTCTTATGTCATGTAAGTAAATGAAAGAGCAAAGTGCTTTGTAGGAAATATAATAGGGGAGTTAGAACACCTGCCTCAAATGTGCAGAGTATTTCTTTTCTGCTAATCATTCCTGCAAGGCTCAAGGTATTACACTCACTCTTATGAACACACCTGTCACCACTTTCATGTGTGGAACCTACTGAGTGGGAACGTCATTAGAAATTCTTTGTTCCTCGTTTTACCTCAAATAGGTTTCTTAACTGTCACATCTCAAGTGAAAACTGTTTTTCAAATGAGTTGTCTCTCAAATGTTTTGTTCTAGATTTTACAGTATTGTTTAATGGTAATCTCACATCAGCTTTTAAATTACACCTGTATATTGGCATATATTAGTATGTGTGCAGTCTTTCACGGTTGTAGTTTATTCTCCTTTTAAAATTTTAATCGACTTGGACAGCAAGTAAGTACTAAAATAAAAAACATAGCATCATTATGATTTTGCACATATTTCAGTTACCAAAACCGTAAAATAAATTTTACCTTTGGCTGTCTGGCCAAGTCTGAGTTTATCAGAAATTAAAAATTACATTGTAGGACAATTCCTAATAAACAACCTTGTTCGGTATCAAAGCTTATTTATCTAAAACAATTACACCAGACTTACCTAACGTGTGCCATATGGAAGCATATTTTTTCCTTTTCTAATATTTTATGGTTTGGGAATGAAAAGGTCCCTGGTCTCTCAGTAAACGCGAGTTATAAGCATTTTTCAAATAAATAACCTTTTGTTAGTTTAGCAGAAAAATATTTTCTATGGTATGACCTTAAGATTATTCAGTAAAAATTGAATCTATGTATTCAACATGAAATTTTTCTTCTTTCCTGATCAAAAACTAAAAACAAAAAAGATTTTTTTCTAAGTGAGAAAATTTGTGGATTTACCTTAATCAGAACAAATTTGAATTTTGCCTCTGATAATAAAATTTTGTACAATAATTTGTAATTCATCACTGTCTTAATTGTCTGACATGTGCAGGTAAGGCTAAGAGGAATAAGACCAGCTGTGTCTTTACGTTGCTTCTGCTTTTTATGAGAGCCCATTTGAAGAGCTGTGAGTACCCAGAGTATAGAGGTTCATGGAAGAACCACTCTTCCTGACATGGGGTTTTTAAAAAGGAAATCCACATGCTGCTGCAGGAATAAGGAAGTCTGTATTTGTAATATATTGTATAAAGAGAAAAACCAATTCAGTCTCTGTTCTAATTATATCTTTAGGATAAATGAAGTCATCTGCACTTTGGTAAAAGTGATTTCACCTGAAATGCATTTCAGATTGCTTTTTAATAGTTTTCCCTGCATTCATCAGGCTGTCAAGCTTCCAGGATCCTCGAGAACAGTTTCCAATAACAACAGAACATAAAATATACATAATCACGGCTTGTAAGCAGTACTCTAGCCACACTTTTCAATGCCCCTGGGTTTTTCTCTTTCCAAGAATTAGTCAGGAATGTAAGAACTGATTCTGGTTGGCCAATGATTTGAACCTAATGTACAGTGGTTTAAACAGCCACAGATAACCCTTTGTTGTCATGTCCATGGGGTAAGAAATCATGCTACCAAGTTATATAGAGGAGTATTCTTAGAAGAGACAATCAGTGTTTACATATATATGTTTATATTTATAATGTGTTTAATAGCTCATGAATTTTACATGTATTCTCAAATGCATCTCCAACCACACATATCCATAGAACAATACACACTCACACATACACACACACAAGATTTAAACAAGTGCAACAGATCTTTGCATCATTAAATAAAGATTACACAGCATAAATGAATGTAATACAGCTTTAGCTAACATTCAACAATACATGCCTGTCATATTTACCAGAAGGTCCCCAGTGGTTTGTTTTAGTGAGTATCAGCTTAGAAAGTGTCACCTGCATTTTGACAGTATGTAGATGATTCTGTTCAAATTGTCCACATAGAATGCACTTTTCTTTGGATAAGGGCAATGACTACCAACTCCTGATTTTAATTTACCTGACTGACTTCCATTACACATTGGTTTCTGGACCACAGATTACACTCCAAAGCAACTAACAAGTCTCTGGTGTGAGGTCTGAGCAAGCACATCTGTAAAGTGCACAGAGCATCCCAACATGCAATTAGTGTTAAGAGTCCCTGGGCCAAAGGCACCTAATGCAGCCGTTGATTTAGCTATAGAATTTCACCAGCAGCACTGCTTTTTAAAAGCTCTATGCAGTTGTTATTGTTCACCACGAAATACATAATAAAAATTGTTTGCTACCAAATATATAATAAAAAATGTACTCTCAATTAGCATTATAGTAGAAAGCAGGTCATTTGGTCAGTTGACCTGCCTACCCTGATATGTCACTACTCCTAATAAAGTTCTTAGTAGTTTGGTGACATCATGGAAATGTCTCATCATCCTTGTGTTCTGAGAGCAGTAGTCTCATGTCTCTCTTCTTCTCTACTGTCTTCTATCCAGATTTACTATCACTATTAATAAGTTTATAATCTTCATTCAGTTATGATATAAGCAATGAGTCTTTAGGAAAGACTTTTTATTCACTGACCTTTGGTCTATGGCACAGACCCCAGACTGTTGGAGGTGAGTGAAGCTCATATTGGAAGTGTTGTAAAGTGGAGATCAGGCACAATGTGTTACAGTAGGGAGAGAAGCACTCCACAAACTATCACATGCATCCAGGTTATCCTCACCTTAGATGCTTCCTTTTGCTACGATATATTATTTTAAGGTGTATTACCTTTGTTCATGCTCTGGAACTTTTGTTTAATGATGCAAAGGTGTGTTTGATTAAGTAAAATTCACCTGTGGTCACGAGGCTGGGTCAACTACTAGCTGACAGGAAGTTGTAGGAAGGAGCCAGGTGGAGAAGGGTTCATATGGAGGGGTGAGAAGGTGCACAAGGACTTCTTGGGAAACACTAGGAAGTGAGCTAGGTGAACTGTTGGCTATTCAGCATCTCTGGGAAGCAGCATCCTTTGAATCTTGAGTTCTTTAGCAGAACAGATTTAAATAAACTTCCTGAGTAGCTTCTAAAGAGTCTGAGGGAACAGGATTTCCTCAGGCTTCTGCTCGTGCTGCCTAGCCTCTGCTGGTGGCAGTGGGGCTGCAGTTGCTGAATAGGAGAGCTGTAGTTTAAAAGTCCTAAAAAATTAAAAGAAAAACAACATCCTTTCTCCAGTTCTTTGTCTTTTTACAAGAAGCTCCCATCTTTTTGTCTTTTATATGACTTCCCAGCAGGACACTTTCATTCTCTGAAACTTTACTATGTTTTCACTTGAGGTTATACAAAGGAATAGGGAAGGTTTTGAGCTGTCTTGGTATCCGTGTGCATAGTAGAAGATGTCATGGGTTCCTGGAACTGTAAAACAAGAGTCAAGGGACACCTGGGTAGACTGAGGATGCTTCTTTGTGCTCTTAAAGTCTTGCAGCTCATGCATCATTTCTGTAGTTCTTCAGTTCCTGCTCTGGGTGCTTCCTTCCCTGAAATCTTCAGCTAATTGGAGCTTTGATAACACAAATGAAATATTTTATTCAGCTGACAGGGAGCTAAAGATACTGTCAGTTTTGGAACATTTTACTGAGCTAGTAGGAGGCTTATCATCTATTGAATAACTCTTGAGTCATCTCTAATAACCAAAATTCATATATCTATCATATATTTGCTAGTTTCCTATTTGTATATCTTTCCCCGTCGTTAATTTTCTTCATTGGATTTAGAGCTTAACGTCCTTTTTGTAAGAGAAAGGATAGTTTTCTGTGGAGTAAAATCTCCCTAGTTAACAGATTTTGTTATGTTACCATGGTTTTTATGATGACTCGCGTTATTGAGCTATATATGACAAATTCAGCTCTAGCCAAGAGTTTGAGTAACTGATGAACAAAGAACTTGATGTCTATAACCATCCTGGAGTCTTCATCCAGTGACTGATGGAAGCAGAGGCAAACACCCACAGTTAAACACTGTACTGAACCCAAGGAACCCAGCAATAGAGAGAGAGGAGCAATGAGCAAATTGGCAAAGAATGGGCTGGCAAAAACAGCAGAGGCAGCTGATCCGAACAGGGGAGAGCTCTTGGACCGACAGCTGGGAGGCCAGCATGGGACTGATCCAGACCCCCTGAATGTGAGAGTCAGTGAGGAGACCTGGGCAACCTATGGGGTCCTGAACAGTGGATCAATGTTTATCCCTGGAATACAAACAGACATCGTGTTTCCATAACACAAAGAGGGATGTTCTCTCAGCCTGGACTCTTAGGGGAGTGCCTGGACCCTACCCTGAGTGAAATGACAGACTCTAGATATTCCCTATGTGGAAGGAATTGGCAATAGGGTGGGAGGATGGGGGGGATGGTGGGGAGTGCGGGAGGAGGGGAGGGAGAGGGAACTGGGATTGACATGTAAAACAAGCTATTTAAAATTAAAATAATAAAAAAATGGAAGAAAAAGAAAGAAAGGAATGACTTAATGAACCTAGATACAAGAGGAAGTCCAAAATCTAAACCTTAATAGGAATGTGTCTTTCCAATGTTAGTATGAAACACACACATACACACACACACACACACACAGAGAGAGAGAGAGAGAGAGAGAGAGAGAGAGAGAGAGAGAGAGAGAGAGAGAGAGAGAGAGAGAGAGAGAGAGAGAGAGAGAGAGAGAATGTAGCAAAAACAGGCTTTCTGTTTTTAAAAAGGTGTTGGATTTCAACCGATAGGATATGCAGAAGTGCTATGGGAATGACTGCAAGCAGTAACTAAAGTAAATCATGAATATATTTCCCATGCCTCCACAAGTTTGGTGACTGGCTGACCCAAATATTCCCAGTGTCAGTTGAATGAAACAGTTGAGTGAACTAAATGGAATGTTTCCAGGGATAAACACAAACTCTGATGCAAATATTTATTCTAGTCCTGTTCAAATTGTGTACAACCAACAAATAGTACCTAATGTATGCAGAATATCATATGAGTGTGCATCTGTGTGCCTCTGTGTCTGTGTTTCTGTTAGATGGGAGTGGACAGAGAAAAAGAACTAGAAATACATAATACATTTTTTTAAAGCAGCTTACTTCCACATGAGAAAAAAAATCTTATACTACATGTTATAATATTTTCAGTCTTTAAAAATTAACTTATTCAGTTTTCTTGTTTGAAAGCTTTTTATTTTTCATACAGGAATATGGTAATATACATAGCTGGTAATTGAAAGGGAAGATAGACAGAAGCATATATATATTATACATATATATATATATATATATGACTTTTGGTCCAATAATAAATGATAAGAGATCCTAGAACAATCAAAGATTCAGTAGCTATCTCGCTACATAGAAACTGTGTGTACTCTTGAATACAAGGGGCATATCAAAATCTTTTTGAACTACTTTGAAAAAGTCTCAATTGTCCTTTCTGGTTAGTAGAGGTGATTTT